GAATCGTAGACGGGCCGTGGATTGTGGAGCAGTGCCGATTTTGATCGAATTGGTGAACTCGGGTCTCGAACGGGCTGTTGAGGTATTGGGTTTGTTGGCAAAGTCTAAGGAAGGGAGAGAGGGCATGATGAGGTTTGATGGGTGTGTGGAGGTTTTGGCGACGGTTTTGAAGAATGGAACTTCGAGAGGTGTTCAATATGCGCTTCTGACTATGAATTCGTTGTGTTGTTGTAGTGAAAAGGCTTGTTTGGAAGCCTTGAAAGATGGGGTTTTTGAGATCTGTGTTGAAAAATTGGAGGATGATAATGAGAAGGTTAGGAGAAATGCAAAGAGTTTGATACAGGTTTTGCGAGGCAAGCATTCAATGAGGTGAATACCGAATCGGTTTAATTGCTATGAATGAATGGATGGCTTTGGAAGAAGATGAAGGGTCAAGGTTGGGTTTTGCGGGCATAATTTGTGGATTTTGTTATCTCCCATTTTCGATGGTGAGGTGGTTCTCCTTTGTTTGATACTCTTTGTACAAAAAGATTACATTTGATGAAGGATGTTGTTTTGTTGTAATATCTTGTATATTACTGCAATAAAGATGACACATATCAGCTCTCTGTTTTAGCTGTGTTAATGGAAAGTTTCAAATTGGTTCTTTCCTTAGTTTTCCACCTTAAAGTTTCTTATATGTCAAAGCATTTTGTATTGGGCATATATCTAGAATATTTGATTTGCAAATTAAGGGTTTGAATTTCGGTTAATTGCAGCAACATGCAAACAGCATCTAAATTCTTGGACAGGGAAAGCAGTGTAGGCCTAGCGTGAGAACTGATTTGTGCATTTTTTGCCTTTGATAATGATTTGAGTACTACTTACATCTGTGGTTCCCTTTGTTAGTTAGTCGATGAGAATTTGATGTCTTGTATTTTTTGTGATAGCGTTTGATTGAAGGCTTTGCATTCTCAAGCATAAATGACCCGTTGCTGAATTAGTTTCTTTCTTTGGTTAACATTGGTTTGAAAGCATTGAAACAAGAAGTCCAAGAGAGAACAAGAATGCCTTTGATGGCATCTGAAAAAATATTGTTTCTGTTTATTCGAAAACAATGTTCCAACAAACTGGTGTTTTGGGAAGCACAATGGCGATGTTTTGGTCCAATATTGAATCAAACGGTTGTCTGTGTGCTCATGAACAAACACTTGTTAACTAGATTAGTGTTTTAGTCAGTTATTCTTTTCGGTACCCTTTGATCTCGGTCTTGTCTTGCAGTGAAATATGTTATCATCACGAGTGCTTAAAAGCATATGCATGGTGCTTTGTTCTTGCCCCTTGGTCGTGCTTAAAGCTTCTTTCGCAATAACCTTTCAAAGTGTCTCGAGTGCCTAGCTTTGAGGTAACAAATGCCTGCTCAAGTTAATCTCCCCTATCCTCCAACAGTTTAATACCCAGTCCAGAAGAATTACCTCTTCTAATGGTGCCTTTGTCTTAACTGGCCTCCTTCCACTGGCAACCTCTAAACAAAATGCACCAAATCCAAATATATTAGTGCTTCCCGACGGTCATTCACTTCATTGTCTTTTGCTATTTTGCCAGGTGCCCAAGCTGGTAGGGGTAGTACGGTGGGGGTTAGTCAGGCTTCACAGCGAGACAAAGGAGTTGTGGACTGTGATAGGTCAAAGGTAATCTCAATTTTTGGTTCCGTAGACTGTGATGATAATATCGCCCACATAGTATCTTTGTATCGTATTCCTCTTGCTATTATGTGTCATCGGACCGAGGAGGACTAGCCAACATATTTCAACTCTTCGAAAAAAATCGTCTTCTACGAGGATGTTTTAGGAGCGGGGTTGAGGTTTCCCATACCCAAACCCATCTGTTAGATTTTGGGACACCTTTCACTCACTCTGGGGAGACTGACCCTGAATGGTTGGAGGGTAATCTTAGTGTTCTTTTTGTTATGGCGGTAGGTCCATGGTAATAATTTTCCTCCCCCTTTCGAGGAGTTTTTGACTTCGTACGTACTTTTAGATAATCCTACTCCTTATCAATGGTGGTACTGCTTTGCCCCGAGGTCGGGCAAGCTTATTACTAAACTACCCTTAAATTGCCACAGTTAGAAGTCTAGATTTTTTTTTGTTAGAGGTGAGTAAGCGACTAAAGAAGATCGTGATTTAGTGCCTTCGTGGTGAGACACTACTTCGAGAACCAAGCTAGGTAAGGATTTTTACCTTAGCTCTTACTCCTGGTTATCGTGTTCATGTACTTACTGTGAGTTTGTTTTTTTGTAGCTTCCCCCACGTTATCTCTAAAGCAAGAGAATAGGCTTCAAGTTGTGCAGGATCACCCCTTCAAGGAGTTTTCAGCTATCATGTCCGCATTGGGTCATCCTAGAGCCTCTCCTAAGCAGAAAAGGAAAGGTATTTGATCTTCCAATCAACTTTTGGTGATTATAACACTGTAGATTCTTTGTCTTACTCCAATTCTATAGGTTCTACTATTAATAGAGCAATAATAGAAGCTCTTTATGCATCTAGGATGGCATCTTCCCTACTTTCCTCTAAGAGGGCGAAGTCTAATGCTTCCAGCGCTTATCAGCTGAGGTCCATTGGTCAGGTTGCTTCTCGAGAAGTGGGACTCGATAATGCCCCCACTCTTTCCCCGACTGTGACTCCATCGCATTTTAGAGGTAGTGTAACACCCCAATTTGGGGTACAATATCTGTAATCCTTGCTTCTTTTTTTTTTTTTTCATATACCTTTCTTTATATAAAAATAAGCATAAAAAAAAATCATCAAACCCCTTAGTGGTACGGCTTGCCATGAACCCTACTTATTTATAGACCGTAAAATTGATCTCAAGAATATGATATATAATAATACAATTTAAATTTCAAATACATATAAAAATGAATCCCATGATGAAATCCCAATCGACCCTCTAGACTCGACAATAGACTCCTCACGTCTTTATGGTTTTTCCTGAAAAGTCATTAAGACTATTAGTAAAGGCAAAGATGTAATTAATATTTAAGAGCACAATAAGTGATAAATGAAACTTTATTTATTTAAGAAAAACCTTAACCACGTATCAGATATTTACTTACAATTACACTTCACCTCATACACATTAGCTTACATTGCATAAACATAACCTGTATACACCACATTAGCAAAATATACAACATATATATTTACTTCCACATAATAAAATTATTCCTCACAATGAATACCCCACACGCACACAAACTAATTCTTGTGCCACACAGGCCACATGTATTGCTAACTCTTATCAGCTCGTAGATATCATTCGTCACTGGTATAACCCAAACCACATTAATGGTTTTTCTTCAGACGACCCACATCATAGAGAGTTTTTGATCACGTTATTTAGACAACTCCACCACATAATCAAATCCTATCACGTAGACGACTCAAGCCATATAAATAATTCATGTTACTTAGATGATCCAACTCACATAATCCTCTCTCGTCACTTAAACAATACTCAAAACACTATCGTATGTCTCTTCTCAATTAATTATTCTCAACAATAACCGTAGCAAAAATATAAGTTTAAAAG